GTTTCCGTTTAAAAGTGTCCAATTTGGCCCATCCTCCTTAGTTACTGAGGAACCGCCAGCTGTCGTTAAAAAATGATAACAAAAAGATCTACGTCTATGGATACCTTTACTGTGCGCGCTCGTTCCATCGTTTCAATAAACGTTTGGCACCCTCTTTATTATCCACTGCCCTGCCAGATTTTATTTATATCGGTGGGAAATTGCCGAACAGTATTTTTTCACCCCTTGAATGAATCGAAACTTGAAATCGAATATAATTCTACTTGGATAACGCTTCTGTCTACATCAGAGCGAGCTTTTTCTATTGGTTATTTTTTCATTTTCAGTAGGATGATTGCAGATTTTTCTCGCCAGAGTCCGGTAAAATATATTTTGATTGAATTTTATTTGAAAATTTTATGGTACAGCTGGTTCCAATAAAATTGAATACGATTTAAAACATATTTTTATTATTTCGGGCAGTATATTCTATGATACCAGTCACCCATTTCTCTATTCATGTCATGCTGACGTTCTGAAAAATTTATTTGTCACTTTGTCAAAAGAAAAGTTGTTTTATACAATGTCACAATAACCTTAACATATCAAAATACTTGACACATAAATATACATTGCCCAAATATTTGAAAAAAATGTGTAAAGAGTCGTATTAATTTTTTTTTGGAACCAGCTGTACTTAAAAAAAGTTTTTAAATCAATGGAATCATCGAAGTTTGAAATTAATGATTTATGCCAGTAGTTTTATTTACATTAGTAGCACAAAATATATGTTTCCCAACGTGGTGCATATAAGGTGTTTCTAATTTTCACCAAACATAATCATTTATTTGACAAATCATGTTTTTAATTACTAGTTGCAAAAAAGAATATTTCGTAACTTATTGGGCCGAAAACTAAATATTCTAAATCAATGGACATCTACCCCAGCATCCTTGAGGAAGAAACCTACCATGTCAAAAGATGCGTACAACTTACCTTCTTAGATAGGAACTATCGGAAACAAGAAATAGTCATCTTACCTGATAGTCAAGTAGCCACAAGAGTGATCAACTCAGTAACCATCAATTCGAATTTTGTCAAAGAATGCCTAGAGGCAAGATACCACCAAGGGATAGAAGGTAATGAAAAAGCAAAGGATCTAGCTAGAAAAACGAGTGAACAATCTACTAACAGGACCAGAACTGTTCTGCTTCCCAAGTAGAAATCAACTTAAAGCAGAACTCAACAACTCAACCTGGAATAGGAATCCTCCAACGGTCTATAACACTGGTATGGTGGGGTGTAGAGGTGTAATGTAGAAGATGGAGAAAAAACCGTCTCAGATGCTAGCTTTTGTCAAAGCCCTGACTGTATGATAACTCAAGTAAGGGTAACACAATAAATCTACAAGGTCGCGGTGATTAACTTCTCTTCCATACAAAAAAAAATCAAAACGTCAAAAGGTTATGAGGAGTGTCACTTTCAAGGTCAAAATTCGAAAATTATTATTTTTATACTGCTAGTTAATTAGTTTTAGGGTTAATTAGAAATGGAATTTAGCCCTGCTCAAAACATTATTGTTTATTGATTATTATACTTCTATCTGAATTGGCACATTCGTATAATTATCATTAGCGATCTAAAAGTTACAAATTACACTACATGGGAATATCGACACATCATTATTACTATTAATGGATTGCAGTAATTTGTTTCAAAATATTTCGGTAATAATTTGAATTAATATTGATACGGTCTAAACAACAGCGGTCAGAATTAATACGGTTGTTCTGCTTGCATCATAAGCTTTGCTTAATATGTTTTTATCTACAGGATCGCTGATATGTATGGGAACGGTCGATTATTTGGTAAAATATAAAAGGTACCGCCAGGGGCGGCTCGTTAGGGTAGGCCTCTGAGGCCGCGCCTCACCTCTAAAATGAAGGAACGATTTATTTTTTTGTATCTAGTTTTTTATTTAACTAACCTACTTAATTTTATTTACCGGTTTCATTTAACGATGCCATTCTGCGGAAACTATGTTGCTTAATAATATCTGACATTAGTTTTCAAGTTAGAATTTATAGGTAAAATGAGATTCAAGTCTGAGGAAAATTCTAAAATTTTCGTAAACGGTACTGTTATGTATGTTTTACCAGTGTCTGTTATCTCGTTTAAAATAAGTAATAAACTTTACGATAAGAACTTGTTAATTCTCGCTAAATCGGCAACACATTTTAAAAATAAAAAAATTTTTCGAAATTTCGAAGAATTTCAAATTAAAAATCAAAATTAAAAATTGTTTGACAGTCCAATAAAACTTTAATTTTGACATTGATCGATGAGTTTAAAAAAATGAATAAGTTAAAAAATACAAAAAAGTAATTTGTACTAAGTTTAAAACTATAGAAACTTTATAAATTCAGAAGCAAAATCGTTGCCGAGGCCATTTTACGTCAAGAAATTTCTCTAAGCAATTTGAAAGTATATGAACTCGTATACTTCAAGATGACTTAAACAACAAAGATGTATCAAAAGAGGCTAAAACTTTACCATCTTGCAATTTGATATTCCTAATTTTGTTGATAAGTTCTTGACTGTAATTAACGATGAATGAAGGTTATGATTAGATAAACTTTAAAACTTTATTAGCTAACCAGATATTGGTAATTATAATGGTAATTATTAATAGATAATTATAATTAATATAAGTCCGCTACTGCTTATAGTTATTAGTGATGGGAATACCGGTTCCACGTGAGTCGCGTTACAATAGCGACCGTTCCAGAAAAATACCGCGATTTTGTAACCGAGGTTTCGACTTCCAAAGTGTTGCGGTTCTCGCTAAAAATATATCCTATCTATATTTGTAGATTAATGTAACTTTTATCCGCCACTCATTTTCCAAATATCGAGTTTATAATAACTGTGTATAGCCAATCTATCTCATTTTTAGAAAAACGATGACATTCCTTGTTTTTTTTTTCTTTACCAATTTTCGTTTAAATAAAATGAACGGATCATATTTATGTGTTTTGCAATATAATATATGTTAAAATCAAGAACAAAGTCCAAACCACTGTCAAAAAAAAATGTTTATTGGTCTAACCTAACCTTAAAAATAGATATAAACAATAAAACTTATATAAATGTATAAAAGCAAATAAAATATTTTTATTTTATTTGCTTTTGCGTTTCATCTTTCAAACAACACTATTTTATACCATGCCTATTACATACCAAAAATCGCTATTTCGAAAGTAACGTAGCGACGTGCGACGGGAGCACCAACGCCAATAGTAACCGACCAAATCGCGACAGGCAAAACCAAAACCCTAGAAGCGCTCCAGCGACTGCTGGAACGAAGTACGTGGCCGCCGAGGTCGAGCATCAATAATCAGTTCCAGCAGTTACTTATGTTCGCGACAGGGAACTAAAATTCTAGGAGCGCGACGGCTGGAGCGAAGTAGGTCACCGCCGAGGTCGAGCGTCGATGCCCAATTACAGCAGTTACTTCTGTTCGCGACAGGGAACTACAACTCTAGGAGCGCGACGGCTGGAGCGAACACGTCCCGATCGAGATCGCGCGGCGCTACGGACATACTAGTTCCAGATACTACTGTTGGCGACCGACGAAATCGCAATGGCTGGAGCTAAACACGTTGCTAGGCGGTTACTAGGGTTCGAGCTAACTTCAAGTGCGATTATAAATAATTTATTTGCAAATTATAAATAATTTATAATTTTGTCGTTATTATGATCGTCGTTCTTCAGTAACAGATTCCTGATTTGTTGTGGGGCGTGACACGACGTTACAAAAAAATACCGCTCCAAAATCGCGTTACTCAAATACCGACACATCACTAATAGTTATTCATTCAACTAAATTTGATGTTTTTACGGTTAATCTACAATTCCAGATAAAAGAAATAATGATGATAGTCTGAATCTCCATGAATCCCAATATAATATAAAAATACAAAAAAATTGTAAGCAGTTTTTAAAAATCTACTCGATATATTTTTAGTTTCTATATAAATTAAATCGAATAGCTGGACTTTACTGTATACTTTCCTCTGGAAAGATTTAAACTTAACGAGTTGGTCAACAGTTCCAGTTTGTTGGCTTTTCTCCTCCGAAAACTAAGTTCGTTCAAATAGTCCGGTGGAAAAACTTTCTAAATTAAATTTCAGCAACTTTTCAGACCTTTTACATGTGTCTCCCGCCCTGTAAACCTTTTTCTATAAATGTCCTATTCAATTTAAAGTTGGCAAAAGAATGCTTCATGTATATTTCGGAATAGAGGTTTTCTTTGAGATAATTGATGCGAATGCGAGTACAAAAACGAATAGTTATTCTGAAATGGAAGCTCGACGTAATGTAAATAGTAATGTAAATAGGCACGTTTGAAAATAGGCATTTCTTATACAGTTTAAAAGAGGTACGAGTATATGCAATTATTTCGGGCATCTTGAACTTCTAGAGTATCGAAGTATATTTTTATTGAATACAATCTCAACTTTTTTCCTAAGTTTATTTTTAAAATTGGTACGATATACCTGTAAAAAACCTGGTATATTTGACTAAATTTATACTACTATTGAAACACAATCAAAATGAATGAAGTTTTAACATACACAAATTAATATGAATACATGATACAATTTCCCCCCTATTCATGAAATTAGTAAAAACGGAACTCACTCAATTATTAAATTTTCTACAAAATGTGAACTCTCAGACACACCCTAAAACGCATATTTATCTGACCAATAATGATGACGTAACGTTGAACGATCGCTTGAAAAATTCAATCCATATAAAATAATTTGCTGCTATTAATACGAATACTGAAAGCCAATTTAATAAAAAAATAAATTAAATTATGAACTCGCATTCAGTTAAGAAGCAATATATTTGTATCTTAATCGTTCTTCAACCAATTTTTCTTAATTATATGAACCCTGGTAAATGCCTAACTTCCCTCCCAGTTAATTAATGTACAGGAAACGTTAACTTACCCAAAATGCCCAGCCTGTAATTTACAGTAACAACGACCACGCTCCCGTAGCTGGCCAGGACAGTGCCGTCGTACGGGTTGCCTGAATTCCATTCGTAGCTTTCGCCGTGGATGAACACTATAACGGGATACTTGGCTTGGTTGCTACCCTCTCTCGTGCCTGCTGGAAAACAGAAAAAAAAAGAGTTATTATTTGACAACAATTGTAATAAGAGTTTTTATTCAACATTTTGGGCATTATTTTGAATGTATTAATAATAATACATGTAAGTAATATGATAACCAATATTGTGTTTAGTGCTAATCAATTGAAATATTCAAAGTAAACTACACTTATGATCATTTAATTACTACAGGTGATCTATTTTCGCGTGTTTTACATGGTTTCTCCTTTATGAGTAGAGATACAAAGATGCGGCATTCACATTGCTGTGCTACTCAGTCCCGTAGAGTTTTCCACGTAGAATTCAGTGGCATCACTAGATTTTTGCTGAAAACTGATATTCTTGAAATATGTCCAAAACTAATGAGTTTCTAAACGGGATACCCAGTATATTATTAACCGACCATACCATCAGGTATGGTAGGCTATTAAGATCGACAAAAAATAACATTGACAAACTTTTTGGCGTTTCTATAATTTCGTATGTTTTTAGTTGGCTTGGGCTCCAGGAAAAGGTGTGAAAGGCAAAGATCTAAAAGACTACTGGGAGGGTGATTTGGGAGTGTCGTATATTCCTTGGAACAAGTTGAAGCAGGACATAGACTTGGAAATGTTAGAAGAGGGAGGAATGATTGATGAGAAAACGATGCCGACTTAGATGCGACAGAAAATCGAAGAGTTGAATAAAAAGAAGACCATCACCATCACACCGCCAGATAAACCACCATATTTTGGAGGGAACTTGAACAGTATGTTTACTCACATTAAAAAAACATTTCTTGAGTTAATTAATAATAACTAAAATTTTTTAGTCAGAAACTCTTTGACGCGTCCTGTATATAAATGTTCTTAGTTAATTGCAGCAAAATATTTCTTTTTTAGTGGGAGATATGAAAGTAGGCACAGCTTCAATGGGTTCAATTGATACCAGTCAGCCACCTCCGATGCCTGGCACCAATCTGCTGCAACCGCAGCTTCTGCCTTTGGTAAACCCGTTCCAATACAACAACAGACTATTGGGTTTGATGCCGAACATGGCCAACATGAACCTGCCGATCGGAGTGCCCTCTCTCAATATGCCGCCACCCATGATGCCGAATTTAGGGTTAGGCCTGAACTCGCCATTCCAAGGTATGTGCGATTTCATAAATATCTCTTTTTTTCAAACGTCATAAAAGTATTAATTTTTGCGACGTGATTGACAATATTAAAAAATCATTTTAACGCCTAGGCATAAAAGTAAAGCACTTTTACGCCTAAGCATAAAAGTACGAAAATATATTCAACAAGCGGAACCAAAGTACGAAAGTCAAATTCAACGAGCGTAACCATAGTTTCTTGATATATATAGTATGTCCAACGACAAGATCCTTGACAGTGATAGATGTGTCTGTCATTTTAATATCAAAGTAGTTTATTTTATTTTACAAAGAAATAAGTTGGTACATTGGAACGCATAGCTGGAAATTAGTATATTTAAAATTTGACTGACAAGTGATTACTTCAAAATATTGTGAAAAAATAACTGTATAAAACTGAAAAAATGTAATCGAGTTATTTTATTTAAAAAAGAAACAGTATGTGTTAATACAAAACACACAAGAACAAAACACTACATACCAAAAAATATAAAGTTATTTTCACTTAAAATGAGTTATTTGGGTCATAAATGACCTAAATACAAAATATTTTCATGGTATCTGTCTGTCTGTCTGTCTGCCGTCTGTAACACGATAACTCAAAAACAGCTAAACCGATTTTAACCAAATTTGGCACAAAAATACTCTGGCACCCGAGAATCTGGCCATTAGATTTGGTAGGGGTGGGGGGTTGGTAAGGGGGTATGGGAGGGGGTTAAAAATTTTAAAAAATCGTAATTCCAAAATTACAGTAGCTAGCGAAACGCGGTTTTCAATTTAAGATTAGGAATAATATTTGCAACAAAATTTGTAATAACATCAAAATCAGTCAAAGTCGCAGTTTTTGAGATTGAAAAAATTGAAAAAATTCCTTTACTCTAAAACTAAGAGAACTGTCTACCAACTTTTTATTAACATATTTTAGTATGGGCGGCTATACGTGCCTCCCGACGCCAATTTTAATATTATTAATTTTGATTTATAAAATTGCGTTTATCTCATCAAGGACGACAAATTCGACAAAATATCAAATGATAACTTTTAATTGGCAGTAAAAGCCCTACATAATTTTGATATCAAAAGAAAAAAAAAGTCAGTGGCGCACATGTATTTTTTTGGGACATTCTAGTGTAGTAACCCATATGCTAATATGGGTTATCACTGGAATAATATATATTTCAACAATTTTTTTTAAATAAAAAGTTAGCAAAAATGTGAAATGTTATGTCAGTGTCACAAAAGATCTTAAAAAATAAGCTTCATAAATTTTAAATTAACTTTTGGTTTTATTTTTGATAGATGTCCTCTAACGGATAAACAAAGCATTTTTGTATAAGGTAAATTGTTTAATTAACTTATTGCGACTCTAAAAATAAGTACCTAGTAATTCAATATCCACGGAATATGAAGATACCTGCATTTTCAAAAGAAATGTGTCTCATATATTTTGGAATTACGTTAGTAAAGTTTGGAGAATAAATAATATATAAAATTCAGGGAAATCATTGACCATATTACACCTTAATGTAATCCCTAGAATACGTCTGCTGGGATATATATTTGCCATTCGTTCTAAGCAGTAACGTAACGTCTCTTTTACGACTTAAAATAAAACAGTAAATAAAATACAGCATCCCATAAGCCCGAAACACGCGATTTAAGCTTTTATTGCCCAAATAGAGTAGTTTTCTTTAAAATCGCGCCTGGTTATTTAAGCCGGATAGGGAAAATAAAAGTCTCCGTATAGATATATTGCTGTATTTTAACTCTATATTTTTTATTCTCTTTTTTACAGGTACTTTCTGGATACAATATTGCTCACTCGGAAGTCTTTGACCCATTGCGGTACAACCTGTATTATTATATACAGGGTGGCGCCTCTCATACGCCGCGGAGGCTCCAGGTATTGAAATGAAATGTTGTGAGCATATGTAGGTTAATTCAGAGCATTTTTTAAAAATATAGAGAGTTCTACAGGGTGTCCCCAAAAAAAGTTACATATAAATATAATGTCATCAATGACACAATGCATCGTCTTATGGAGTTTGCTGGTGGTCGTATTATGATGTGCAACCAAAGTTTTGTTAAATATACTATATCAAAGTTATGTTTTTTGTAATGGAATACCCTATATATTATTTGATTTCCGGATTCTGGGAGAAAAATAATGGTGAGTTTTATAAGAGATTTATATTTTTATTTTTTTTAATTTTATATGACTAAAATGTAAGGTTTTTGACATATTTAACATTTTCATTAGAAATAAAGAACAATGTTTAAATTACAAAAAACCTAAATTGGGATTCACCCGGTATAGTCTAATATGTAGTCAAATTAACCATTGTACTTTAAATCAAATTAAAACTTGATCCAAAAAATTATACAGGGTGAGACAAAATTAATATTGAACATTGGTCACCTTTAAAAGCATGTTACTCTTTTATTTTAAATGGAACACCCAGTATATTATTCCGATATTCAATAGAGAATTCATGACTCTTCAAAATACCATTAAGGTTGCCTACCCTTCAAACAAAGATTTTCTTAGATATTTTCATTTATGTACATGGTTTGATCTGAGTAGATCTTCATTATTTGATAAAATCTAGATGGCTGTGATATGTCTAACGTTACTTCAACATAGCTGTCTAATTAGTCCAACTTTAACAACTAGTTATCATTTTGTGTCAGTCAAAACAAAAGAAAATGCAAACTTATTCTACATCAGAATTCTACATTGATATGATTCTATTAGTTGGTGAATGCAGTGTGCCAATTAATAGAACACTTAAATGCTGATGATTTTATCTAGTCTGGGTTTTTTTTATGGGGATATGTTAAAGACAGTGTTTACAAAACTCGACCAACCATTGTCGGCAATATGAGAGAAATTATTGTAGGTACTTTTCGAGATAGAACTCCACATATGCCTTTTAAAATGAAAAAATGTTTTGAAAAGACAATCGTTTTATGCAGTTAACAGGAAAAGAAGCATTTTGAGCATTTGATTTCATCTAGCTAATTTTTGTCACATAATTATAGCTTTTTATCTAGTTTTAATTCTATAATAATTGAAATATGTTTTAAACGTGTATATTTTTATTACCGTTGAGTATTTTAATCTACAATCTTTAATTTTTGTTAAATTAACAAAGGGTATATCACACATCCACCCTAGATTTTTTCAAATGATAAAGATCTACTGACGCAAAATCATAAAAATTAAAATATCTAGGAAAATCTTTGTGTGGGGGGGTAGGCAACTAATAATATTTATTAAGATATATAATTTGCCCATTGAATATCGAAAAAATGTACTGGGTGTTCCATTTAAAATAAAGGAGTAACTGGCCTTTAAAAGTGACTAATAAGAACAAGTGGGCGCATATTTTTTTCGATCAGAAGGTATAATTACAATCAATTGTTATTTATGCTGATTTAGATTTTTTTTAGAAAGTAGTACTTTTTTAATTTCATCGAAATTTAAATTATAAGTCGAATCTTAGTCAAATTTTCTTCATTTCTTCAACTTTTTCAATCTCAATTTCCAACTGTCTTTTTCGAACGTTTTAGAATAACCTACTGCTTTGTAACTTTTTTGACAAAAAATATCTCCTATTTTTTAGGGATTCGATTAACTACGATTGACTTCAAGAAACCATAAAAAATAAACAATTAACTGAGAAAATTTAAGTTATTTTAAATTAGTTGACCACAGATAAAGAAATATAATAACGTGCCTCAGCCTAAATATTTACCGCTGAGAATTTTGTACAGAGGCTGACTATTGCTGTTCATCAGAATAGACCGCTTAGGGAAGTCGTTTACTCAGCCACTCAGACGTTGTCCGGTCATTTTTTAATGGTGCTTGCTGCCAATGGGCCTTGAGAAAGTCATAATTTCTTTTTATATTGAGTAAAAATGATTTTCAAATGGTGTAGTTTAAAATTCAAGAAGAAATATTTTTTCGAAATAGATTTTTGTTTCTGAAAACGTTCTCTCCTTTTTAATCTTTCTGTAATTAATGTTAATTTTGAGAAGCTTTAAGTTAATTTTTAATAATATGATACTTAGAAATTGACTTTGCTAAAATTATTATCGACCCTCATTCCCCGGTTAAATTTATTTAATTTAAAATAAATCTTCTCTTCTGTAAATTAATTTTATAAGTATTAAAAGTAATTCCTATTAAGTAGCGTCGTACAGTGTAGATGTGTATTGAGTTGATGACTCAATACACTAGCAAGTATTTCGCACAAATTACATCTGGCAGTTTATAAATATTTGTATTAATTAGGTTAGTACTATATTATTTAATATAATGAGTATAAAAATGTTGTATGATTTGAAAAATAAAGATTATATTATATTATATATCATAAGTAGATGCTCTTAGTTCAGTAATAATCAGAATGAAAAATGTGTTTTTCTCTTTTATAAAATAATATATTTGCAATAAAAACTTTGTTTTGGTTTTAAAACAGTTCTTTCTTACAATATAACTTTAAACTAAAAATAGTAAAGTCGTTCGTAATAAAAACAGCGAGATGCAGTAAAATACTTTTAAGATCCTGTAGCGTAAGAGTTTTATTTATTATTTTCCTTGTAACTAGACTGTTTTATTCCAGGACTTTCTTTTAATACAGTAAAACTTGAAACTTTAACAAACAAATCGTGTTTTATAAAGAAGGATTTAAAGATACTACAAAATATTGAAGATATGTTCATTTGTTCATATACACTCAGATGAAAAAAAACGCAACGGAGAAATTTTTAGTCAAATTTAAAGTGTTATATTTTTGTTATTTTTAGCTCTATTTTCATGAACGGTCAGAACCATGCCTCCTGGGCATTGTATTTTTTGGATCATGTCTTGGTTAATTTTTAAGAGCGAAATGAACTTGCACCAACAATTTGTATTTTTTTCAATTATCATTTTTATTTTTGAAGTTATTTTTCAATATGACGGCTGCTTTGATAATTATTGTGAACTATATATACTATTATGAATTATTATATGAATACTATTATGAAGCCAATAATTGACCCCATTAAAATTTACATGGGATTTCCTATGTCCCGTCCGATGATGCAACACCCGGTATGCATCTTCAATGACAATATGAACGAACGTATATAGGCAGTTATACCAGCCAAGGGGGGCAATATAAAGTATTAGGGTATTTTTTAAATTTTTTTTTTGTGTTTGTATACATGAGTATTACAGATGATTTCTTTGATATCGTTAGTTCTGTGATTGTTATAATGTCTATTAAAACCAGGACTGTATCTTTAGTCTTTAACTATTTCTTAAAAATATCAAAAATATAACACTTCTCAAATTTCTCCGTTGCTTTTTTTTGTATCTGAGTGTATAATGTCATAAATTCTTTGCTTGGTTTTACATAAATATTTTAAAAGAATTTTTTCAACTAATAAAAAATCTTTTAATTTTTCTTTGCAATTAAAATGTTTACAATGATATATTTAATAGACCTATAACAAAGTGTCTTGCTTTAGTGCCTGCCTCTAAGGCCATAGAACACCTTTAAAAAGCTTAAAATAATAAAACTGCCATAAAACAGATTCTTTATTCAATTGAGAGAAGTAAGAGCTGTAATAAAGCGGAGCTGTTAAAAAGATAAGACAAAATAAAAGTAAAACTGGCATTTTTACTGCTAATGAATATAAATGAAAGTATGGTAAGTAAAGAAAAGATAATAAAGTTCTCTGCTGAGACACACGTAGAGTGCTTAATCTGTTGTATTAGTTGACATAGAAGTACTTAAAATTTTGCGATTTGTTCTTGTTTTGAAAAATTGTTTTTAATCAGTTTTTGAAGTGAAACTTCTTTACACGCGTTGGGAGTAAAAATACGGAGTAAAAAGTGCCCGCGTTGGGTGTAAAAAAGCGATAAAAAATAAGCTTGTGGCAACAATGTATGTGGCAAGACTTTATAAAAATTACTGCGTTGGGAGTAAAAAAGCGATAAAAAATTGCTTGTGGCAAGACTTTATAAAAAGTTAGAAAAAATTATGTAAAAAGGATGTTAAAAATTAAAAAGAAAACCGCAGCGTACGGCTGCTCTTCTTCTGGTGAACAACAGGTGTAGGTTTATCTAATTGTTTTTACAGATTGTTGGACACCACTTATTTAAGCCAAGTTAAAGTGATATTTAAAAATTAAGAAAATTACCACAGGCTAAGGATATTTAAAATTAAAGCAAAATTTAATAAAAAACTCAACTATTTACTAAATTAATAACTAATAATACTAATAAAACTATACTAATTTAATAACAAACTTACCAAACGTAATCGTTTGTTTAAGTTTCATTAAAAGGTTTCAATAAAAAGTAAATTTCAGTAGAAAGTTAAGATAAGTGCAAAATAAGATTCTAAAACAAAACATAAATGAGTACTTAGCTTTAGCTCTGAAGCTGTAGTCAATTAGTATTCATTTTCTATCGTACCTGGGCCCATATCCATTATTATCTGACAAACGAATCTAAAACAGCGCAAGGAATTCGGACAAAAAAAGTCGATGTTGTCACGTTTAATTATAGAAAAGTAAAGTTGCTCGATATTACCTATATATTGAATATATTTTAGTTCATTTCAGCATACATAATTATATATATTCTAATATGTTGACGTAGTTCTTATTGTAATAATGTATATTTATCTAATTAACTGATTTCCTTCATTCTGCCTAATATAAAAGGTAAAGTATTTCCTTAAGATAACGTCCGCTTAGGGTAAGCTGGCAACGCTGACAAAATTCATCATGGCATCCCGGATTCAACCAGTCTCATTGGTCGAGATTCTCGCACGTCTTGTTGCCATTACCCCCAACTTTATGCCCCTCTCTAGGAATAGTAGA